CTTTTCAGCAAGTGGTGTTGGGAAAATTGGACAGCCACATGAAAATCAATGAAGTTAGAACATTCCCTCACATCATAGACAAAAACAAACTCAAAATGGCTTAAAGATTTACATATAAGACATGACACTATAAAACTCCTAGAAGAGAATATAGGCAAAACATTCTCTGACATAAATCATACCAATGTTTTCTTAGATCAGTCTCCCAAGGCAATAGAAATAAAATCAAAATTAAACAAATGGGGCCTAATCACACTTATAAGCTTTTGCACAGCAAAGGAAACCATAATCAAAATTAAAAAGACAACCTAAGGAATGGAAGAAAATATTTCCAAATGATATGACTGACAAGGGCTTAATTTCAAAAATATACAAACAGCTCATACAATTTAATAACAACAACAACAACAAAAATAATCGAAAAGTGGGCAGAATATCTAAATAGACACTTCTCCAGAGAAGACATACAGATGGCCCATCGGCACATGAAAAGATGCTCATCATTCCTAATCATCAGAGAAATGCAAATCAAAACTACAATGAGGTGCCACCTCACACTGGTCAGAATGGCCCTCATTAAAAAGTCTACAAATAACAAATACTGGAGAGGGTGTGGAGAAAAGGGAACCCTCCTACACTGTTGGTGGGAATGTAAATTGGTGCAGCCACTATGGAAAACAGTATGAAGGTTCCTCAAAAAACTAAACATAGAGTTGCCATATGTTCCAGCAATCCCATTCCTGGGCATATACCCAGACAAAACCTTAATTCGAAAAGATACATGCACCCAGTGTTCAAAACGGCACTATTTATAGTAGCCAAGACATGGAAACAACCTAAATGCCCATCAACAGATGAATGGATAAAGAAGATGTGGTACATATATACAATGGACTATTACTCAGCCATAAAAAAGAATGAAATAATGCCACTTGCAGCAACATGGATGAACCTAGACATTATCATACTAAGTGAAGTACGCCAGACAGAGAAAGACAATTACCATATGCTATCACTTATATGTGGAATCTAAAATACAACACAAATGAACTTACCTACGAAACAGAAACAGACTCACAGAGAACAGACTTGTGGTTCCCAAGGTGCGGGCAGGGGAGGGAAGGTTTGGGAGTTTGGGATTAGCAGATGCCACCTATTATATATAGGATGGATAAACAACAAGGTCCTACTGTGTAGCATAGGGAACTATATTCAATATCCTGCAATAAACCATAATGGAAAAAAATATGAAAAATATTATATATATGTATAACTGAATCACTTTGCTGTAAGCAGAAATGAACACATTGTAAATCAACTATACTCCAGTAAAAAAATTTTTAAAAATTAAAATTTTTCTTACTTGCCTAAGGAAACTATAGTGAAAAAATATATATTCTCTGAAATAAGATAGCCAAGTAACTTTTTAGTAGAAATGCACAACTACTCATTTATTTCAGTTTTCAGTAAATGGCACGAGGTTTATCACAAATATATTATCTACATGTTTTTTTCCCTTCTTTCACATATAAACCTCGATGAAGCACAGAATTTTAAAAGTTGCCAGAAAACTATTTTCCCCAATACCCTTTTTTGCTATATGTGGAAACATCAATGTCCAGCAGATCTTATAGTTTATACTGAATAATGCATGGGTTACATGGTGGATAATACTGGGTTACATGATGGCAACAGTTGTTCTATTTGAAGTACAGGGTTAGCAGGCCCCAAGCAACTCTCTGTTGGAAAAAGCAAGGCTCTCTCTAAAACTGCCTAATAGTCACTGCATTAGACTTCCCATTTCAGGTGTAAGGTTTGGGGCCACGCTTCACACTGCACTTGTAAAATGTTCTACATTTTTCATTCATTGTGAAAATAATGTGTTTTAGTTGTTTTTTTAAACATTTTTTAAAATTTTATTTATTTATTTGGTTGTGCCGGGTCTTAGTTGCGGCAGGCAGTCTCCTTAGCTGTGGCATGTGAATTCTCAGTTGCGGCACGCATGTGGGACCTAGTTCCCTGACCAGGGATCGAACCCGGCCCCCCCTGCTTTGGGAGCATGGAGTCTTAACCACTGCGCCACCAGGGAAGTCCCAAAATAATGTGTTTTAAATGAGTCAGTGATCACTGGCCATTATGGGTTAAATTGTGTCCCCCGTAAAGATATCTAGAAGTCCTAACTCTTAGTACATGTGACTGTCACCTTATTTGGAAATAGGGTCTTTGCAAATGTAATCAAGTTAAGATGAGGTCATTTGGGTGGCCCTAATCCAATATGACTGATGTCCTGGTTAAGAGAGGAGAATGCCATGTGAAGATAGACACTCAGGGAGAATGTCATGTGATGAAGAGGTCAGAGACTTGAGCCATGCAGCTAAAGCCAAGGAGTGTCAGGAACTGATGGCCATCACCAGTAAGTCTATTGTCTTACATCATCAGTTTTCATGTGCACACTTCACAAAATGAAGCTCCATTCATCCATGCATGCACGTTTATTACCTAGGAAGCCACAGACATTGTTAGATGGGACTTAGGGAAGCCAAGAGCGTGATATCACGTGTGAGGGTGTGTTTGGGGCATGAGGAAGGGAAGTTAACAATTACAGTTGTGATAGATATATAAGTGCCATGATGGTATAAGCACAGAGAAATGAGAAGAGGCAAACAGGCTCAGGATATTGGGTGAATTGCCCTCTTGAGCTGAGTCTTAACACAGAAGAATTAGCCTGGAGGTGAAGAGAAGCTCTGGAGAGAGGAAACCACGTTTGCAAGAATACAGAGAGATGCCATGATCAAGCATAGTGTGATACTGATGGCAACACTGGTATTTTGGCAATTTTTTTTCAGAGTATGTTAATGCCTATATTTGATTTTAAAACATAGACACATATGGTGTTGTGGGCTGAATTGTGTCCCCCCTCTCCCCAATTTATATGTTGAAGTCCTAACTCCCTGTACCTCAGAATGTAACCATATTTGGAGATTAGGTCTTTAAAAGGTGATTAAGTTAAATGAGTCTTTTAGGGTAGGCCCAAATCCAATATGACTGGTGTCCTTATAAAAGGAGGAAATTGGGACACACAGAGAGACCCCAGGAACGTGCATGCACAGAGAAAAGATCAAGTGAGGACACAGCCAGAAGGCAGCCATCTGTAAGCCAAGGAGACAGGTCTTGGGAGAAACCAAACCTACCCAGTCTGTGGTATTTGTTATGGCAGCCCGAGAAAACGAATTCAATGACCAAAGCACGAGAAATCTGGTGGAGGATGGCAAGAAGCGAGGCTGTGACACAGGCAAGGGCTAGAATACAAGGGGCCTTGTATTCCACACTGAGGAAATTTGATGTCATCCTGATGACAATAACACATTGAAGAATTAGGCAGGAGATAAATCAGATATGTATTTTAGAAAAATCCCTCTAGAATGCAGTGTGGAAGACCAGAGAAAAGAAAGATCAGAAGGAGGCTATTGGAAGCAAGAAGGGATTAAGGTTTGAATTAATCGGTGGACTGGTTGTGAGGAATGAGAGAGAGGGATCCAGAGTAACTCCAGGATGGGTAGAGAGTGGTGCCATTGCCCTTTGTAGGGAAACACAGAAGGAGCACCATCAAGGAAGAGGGCGATAAGGTAAGTAGTGGACGTGCTGGACTCAAGATGCCTGTGAGTTTTATAACCTTCTCAGCACACAGGAAGGCACAGTGGTCCTGCAAATCAGAAAGGAAGAGAGAACCCTTGGTAGTGTGCAAAGTTCAGAGAGTGGTTCAAGCAATGGGAAGCAGTGAGATCACCCAGGAAAAAGTATCATGAGAAGAAGGTTACAAACAAATCCCTGGGGAATAACAAGGGTTTTTAAACCCCCTAAACAAAAATGAGGGTCAAAGCAAACGTAGGAATGTTTTCAATATGAACAGAGGAAACAAAGGCCAGCTACAGGATGGAGTTGAAAAGACCTGAAGAGGAATTTTTACCTCTATTTCACGCAGAGATGGGAAACGCAAGATGCGTCACCTACAAATGATGGTTTTCAGTACATTCTACAATTGTTCAGATACGCAAACATTCAGTTCAACCTGGAAAGATGGTTCAGAGACCTAGACTGTTGCTCTCCTTAGGCTGAAGTGCCGCATTTCCCTTCCTGGATACCAGAACTGCTACTAATTGAGAGTGGATTATATAATCTTACATTTATCTGGTCTTTATAATATTACATAATTTATATAAGTTTATATTTTTGAACATGTCACCATGAAGGAAAGAGACTACACATACACATGTATATGTATGTCTGTGATTTTTTAACAAATGTATCAGATTAACATTGCTTGAAAGCAGTCACCTTGGGAATCAATCCAATTATTCTTACTATATACTATTATGCAAAACAGTTTAGAATTTCTTTGCAAAAAACTACAGAGCAGTAGCATGGACTTGAATTTTTGGAAAGAGCTGAGCCAATCAGTTAAGCCTAATGAACCACACACACACACACACACACACACACAGGCAATAGTTTTTTTGTATCAAAAGCAAGATATGACTGGTTGAGTACCTGAGAAAAATGGTTATGTCTTGCATAACATGGTCTTCTTTTGAAAAACTTTACTTTCCTATAGATACAGAATTACATTCACTACTATCTTTGTCTTTATTTTTTATAGTAAGCATCTATTACTTTTACAGTCAGAAGAAAGCTACTTTCGTAATGAAAAAAGGATGTCTACAAAAATTACCTAAGACATTTGCCCCTTAGGCAATTCCAAAAGAGAACTTCTGTAAGTAATCTGTGCAGTCGTGCCTCCCTAAAATAAATATACAGCTTCTCAGGGTAAGTACCTTGGGGTTATTACTCCTTTAAGTTCTCATATTTATTTAATAGAAAAAGAATAGGAAAAGTTTATACCAACATAATGGCACTCATTATCTTGGAATATAGAATTTTGAGAGCTTTTTATATATATTGTTATCTTGTTTCTATTTTCTGACTTACAGAAAAACCAATGAACATGTATTGCTTTGGATTAAGAAAAATAATAAAATTGCAAACAAAATTAGCAACATCTGAAAAGGCATACATTCCTTTAAAAATCAATAAATCACTATTTTCCCAAACACATAAAGTTATCAGTTAGTCTTATAACCTACATTATATCAGCTTTTTTCCACTTTGTCTCCTTAGAGATTTATATTTAAAGAAAATAGGACTGTATATAATTTTATGACATAATTTCCTAAACATTTCATTCAACTGGTTGCTCAATAAACATTGATCAAATAATGTAGTAGGCAGAGGAGAACTGAAACTTCATGAAGCCTGCCTGAGAAAGTTTAAAATTATAAAGAAGCAAAAATGAGAGCCTTGCAGTGGCTACCTATGTAAGAAAGATTCAGCTGCTGGTCACCGGCTGGATTTACTCTCCTTCCCCCATCTGTTCTCCCCCAGCTACATCCAGGCACAATTTTATACCTGTAAGAAGGTATGAGACTGTAGGGTTTTACATGCATACTATGTACTTCATGATTCATAATTTCAGACATTCACATATTTCTGGATCGGTTTCCTAATAACCGGCTCAAAATGTCTGCCAAAAGAATATGGCTTATAACAGTTACTGCTTCTCTTTAAAACAAATCCCTTAAGAATGGAAATACAGTTTTATCTATCTCTACAAATACCACCACACATCCTAAGTTTAGAATAAAATAAATAACATCTATATAAAAGTAGTGTATTTTAAAATATATTTCTGCAAATCTATTTCAATCAATGTAAGTAGGCTGATCTTAAACAACAGGAAAATCCAAAGGTCATAACTTTAGAGGGAGTCTGCTGCCATAAAATCAAGAAGGCTAAAAATCTCAGATTTCACTACTCTTCATTCTGAAGAACAGCTGAGTATGTCATTTTATCCTTAATTTACTTCACATATCAATATAACACTACATTTTCTATTTTCTCTTTGCACACACACACATAAATGTGTATAACCACCAACCCACAATTCAAAAAAGGCCAATCCATATTAATACTGGTGGATACTTTTCAGAATTTGAAGAAAGAACAAATTGAAAAAAAAAAAAAAAAGGTTAATGCATTCAGAAGAAAATAAAGCTTTCTTACAAGGCAGGACTTGGTGCCAACTCTCGCAGCATCTCTCTCCCCATGATTAATTGCTTTGCACACAGGTAATCTAAATGGTTTACTGTACCTGGTTTTTAACACTTGCATATCTTTTCAGGTGTTTTATAAATTCTGGTCGAGAAGTGTTTCGTGAAATTATAAGAGCCATGCTTCCGTTATTTAATCTGAAATTAAATATTTGTATTTGACATTAAAATATTTATTAAGAGAGTACATCAGAAACTACTCTGTATCATTCCTCCTAACAAATAATGTTTACTAGAAGTTGTAGGCAAGCTAGATAAATCACCATCACATTAAATTTACCTAAAATTATTAAATCATATCTTGCTGTGCTGTCTTTTAAATGAAACAGTCTTTCAAATTAGTTTTATTAAACAACTGACTGATTTCCTTCTCACCAAGCACTGACACCAAGCACTTCTTAAAAAATGAATCATCATGCATCCTATTCACATATCAAGACATAGTTTGAAATCCAATGTACTTACTTAGGGATTCTAAGTGTGAAACCATGTATTTTTTTAAAGATGTGTTGTACGATAGTTAATAAATACAAATGGTCTAACAACTAGTTCAACACTTTTTAAAATCTAAAGTGTGATTTAAATATTTATTTATGGGCAGGTCTAAGTGACATAGGAAACCAAATAAATCAGAGGCTCTTGGATGGATGAACTGGAGTGAACAAATGCTACCACACATGTTCAGTTAAATGACTGAACATTTTAATCTTGCATAACTCTTCAGTTCAATATAAGAGGCTGCAAATTTAGAGGTGTGATTTAGTGCCAAAAAGCCACTCACAGATGCATCTAGCTTTAGAAGGCAGTTTGCAGAAATATGCGCAAATGACTTCTAGGCTCAGTTTCAGTGCAAATATAAAGTTATTCCAAGAATAACAATGATGACATAAAAAAGAGCTCTTTAAATCTTATGGAAGCTCAGGTTAGAGCTGTAAGGGACCTTGGAGATTACCCAGTCATTCACTCAGTTTATGTAGAAGGAAAAGAAGCCCCGAAGTTTAAGTGATTGGTTCAAAGACAGAGAAAAACAAAATAATCACTGGAACCAGAGCGCTTAATCCAGGGTCCACCATTCCTTTTACGCATTACGTCACCTCTTCCCAACTGGAAATAAATAGTACCAAAACATCAAAAAATCTAGAAACAATAAATGCTGGAGAGCGTGTGGAGAAAAGGGAACCCTCTTGCACTGCTGGTGGGAATGTGAATTGGTACAGCCACTATGGAGAACAGTATGGAGGTTCCTTACAAAACTACAAATAGAACTACCATACGACCCAGCAATCCCACTACTGGGCATATACCCTGAGAAAACCATAATTCAAAAAGAGTCATGTACCAAAATGTTCACTGCAGCTCTATTTACAATAGCCAGGACATGGAAGCAACCTAAGTGTCCATCGACAGATGAATGGATAAAGAAGATGTGGCACATATATACAATGGAATATTACTCAGACATAAAAAGAAACGAAAATGAGTTATTTGTAGTGAGGTGGATGGACCTAGAGTCTGTCATACACAGTGAAGTAAGTCAGAAAGAGAAAGACAAATACCGTATGGTAACACATATATATGGAATCTAAGAAAAAAAAATGTCATGAAGAGCCTAGGGGTAAGACAGGAATAAAGATGCAGACCTACTAGAGAATGGACTTGAGGATATGGGGAGTGGGAAGGGTAAGCTGTGACAAAGTGAGAGAGTGGCATGGACATATATACACTACCAAACGTAAAATAGATAGCTAGTGGGAAGCAGCCGCATAACACAGGGATATCAGCTCGGTGCTTTGTGACCACCTAGAGGGGTGGGATAGGGAGGGTGGGAGGGAGGGAGACGCAAGAGGGAAGAGATATGGGAACATATGTATATGTATAACTGATTCACTTTGTTATAAAGCAGAAACTAACACACCATTGTAAAGCAATTATACTCCAATAAAGACGTAAAAAAAAAAAATAGTACCAAAACATTAGTGTTTTGTGCATTCTTGATTCTTTTTTAATTACTTAGTTTTTACTGGTAAACATGAAAAGCATTTCACGTGTCCACGTTTCAATACTTATTAGTAATTGAAACACAAGCTATGTGCCTGGCACTGTTCTAAATATCTTCCATACATTAATGCATATAATCTTAGAAAAATTCGAATATAAAAAAATTAGTTCCTATCAGCAACTCACACTGAGGTATTTTGAAGTAAATTATACTTTCCTGTGAAAAAATAAAGGTGGAAGTTGAAACTCCTTTGCAATTTCGCTGAATCATCCAGAAGCTAAATTTTTGAATACTTGGTCAGTTGAGGCTCTGATGTAAAGGCCTTTAAAAAAATGGCATGTTGGCTTACAATCCACAGAAGACATCTCTAATAATCATCCTCCTCTGAAAAATTCATCAATGCAGATGGAGCCTGGAGAGTAAGCAGTGGAATTCCAGGCCAGCTGGAAAATGACTGGAGCAGCTTGGAAGGAGGCATGAATCTACTGCTCCCAGGAGAGCAGGACTACTTCCCACGAAGGTCCTCGAGCAAACACGAGAGTCAGAGATGGCGTAGGGTTAGAGCAGCATTGTGTCGAGTCCTGGAGAATGCAGCTCTAGTCAGCCAGCCAGATCTTCACTTCAGATCTTCACTTTTCATGGGGGAAACTACACTAGGGAGATGCACAGCTATCTAGGGTTTCTGAGGGTATGGGGAGGAAACAATCAGCCTCAATTTCTAAACCACACAAGCTCCAGCACTAGAGATAATTAATGAGACTCTGACATCTGATTTTTAAAATAGCTTCTCGGGCTTCCCCGGTGGCGCAGTGGTTGAGAGTCTGCCTGCCGATGCAGGGGACACAGGTTTGTGCCCCGGTCCGGGAAGATCCCACATGCCGCAGAGCGGCTGGGCCCGTGAGCCATGGCCACTGAGCCTGTGCGTCCAGAGCCTGTGCTCCGCAACGGGAGAGGCCACAACAGTGAGAGGCCACGTACCGCCAAAAAAAAAAAAAAAAAAAAAAAGTTCCTCTTCTTCTCTAACTTTGGATATTTCCCTCTTTCTTACCTTCCTATCAATTGCCAAGGAAAACATTTTAAATCAATCCCTTTACCAATTGTTAATCCTTCAGATTAAATATTTTGCAGGGAAGTTGAAACTAATCATTAAAATGATGTTATGAATTGCCAAAGTACATACATAAATCATTCTTTTATTCCACTTTTGGGGAAAATCTAGCGGTGACGACATTACGCAACATTCATCACCTTTCTTCTATGCTCTACAGAAACGCAAGAGAAATATATTTTCAGACCAACGATGGACAGCTACATGAAAAGGATGTGCAAGAGATGGAACAGCTATAGCTTGTGGATAAAATGATATATAAAATGTCTCATGAAAATGTGGGCAGTAGATTCCGATGTACCACAATTCACACTAAATATAACTAAAATGTTTCCTTTGACTAAAAGTATCATACACACATACATGCTATTCCTGCTAAGGTTGTATACGTCTGCACTAAAATCGAAAGGCAGAGGTGTGCATAAGGAATACCAGAATTAAACATAATATTCTCAATGACTGGTAAATAAATAAAGCAAAGTAGACATAAAATAATAAGATCATGTCAATAAAACCCAAGGAATATTATTTTAGCCTCAGTGATATTAAAAAATCAGAGTAAATTATCATTTTTCCAGTATAACAGTTACTCTCAGCCTACTCTGAAGACAAATCCCTTAAAATCAACTCAGAAATGACCTCTTGATAATATTCTAGTTAGCCAAGAGTTAGCAGGGTATTCTGAAAGATAAATGTGGTTTATAGAAAAGTTTCAATGGGGCTTCCCTGGTGGCACAGTGGTTAAGAATCTGCCTATCAATGCAGGGGACACGGGTTCGAGCCCTAGCCTGGGAAGATCCCACATGCTGCAGAGCAACTAAGCCCGTGCACCACAACTACTGAGACTGCACTCTAGAGCCCACGAGCCACAACTGCTGAAGCCTGCGTACAAGAGAAGCCACCACAACGAGAAGCCCGCCCACCCCAACGAAGAGTAGCCCCCGCTCACCGCAACTAGAGAAAGCCCGCGCGCAGCAACAAAGACCCAACTCAGCCAAAAATAAATAAATGAATGAATGAAAAGTATCAATGATTCAATAAAAACGCTTACTAACCTGGTATTAGGTGCCAAGCCTCTAGGTGCCATGGAACACAGGCATGGAATTGCCATAATGCTGACATTCAAGAACTGACCCTGGATCATTTGCCACTGATCATTACAGTCTAAAGGTAATGGAAGGGATTGGTTACTTCCCCCACCAGATCAAAATGTCAATAGAGCCCTGCTCAGTTCTCAAGGAGGTAACTTCATACTCACCAGATTTCAGAGATCCCTGTGCCCTCCTAAAAGTAAGAAAACAAGACAAAGAAACATCACATCACACACAAAAAAATAGCATCTATTACACATGAGATGATTAGAGAACCCAACATTATATATATTAGATTCAGCAGTAAGTAAAAATATGTGAACAATTCTGTCACTGCATTAGTTGTTGGTTCATTGATTCATCAGTAACAATGATTTTCAAAATTTCTTTTAAGACTAGAGCACTTCCTTTGTGTGGCTTTGAGTAATATTTTTATTCCACGTTAGAAATTCTCATGAGGGCAGAAACTGGATTTTGTTTGTTTGTTTGTAGGCGTATTTTATCCAAGGTGTCTGGCATACAGCAGGTACTTTAATAAACAGCTATTGAATGGACGGATGGATGGATGGATGGATGGATGGAGTGAATAGTTGTTTCTGAAGACAGATGCCAAACTACATGGCCTAATAGAATCTGTAGGACCCCATGATTCTATATTCTTCACTAATACGATAGAAGAACAACCAAAGATCACAGGTCTAATAAACTGTTTATATCAAACAGTTTTATGCTTCAAAGAAAGATATAGACTCCTGTATTACTTTGAGCTGTTCACTTACCTTTCTTCTAAATCCTGAGGGTCGTTAAATGGTAAAAATGATATTTCACATTCCTCTGGCCTAAAATATAATGAAATTTGTTATTAGCACTCATTGACTCTGGGATATGAAATTTGGGGGTTAAGAAAAAAAGACTTACTTAAGTTTTGCCAGTGCCTTAATGACAGCAAAATCCATACGTTGGTTAGGGGACATCCATCGATGTTTTTCTGCCAGAGCCAAAGCTCTTCCACCAAAGCCAAACATAGCTGAGAACCCAAAGCGAAGAAACTTGCCAGTGGTGCTGAAGGTGCAGACATCGACCGGTTGTATGTGCCCTTGAATGTTATATTGAGTATTAGTCAGTCAGCAAGTAAGTAGAGCCAGGTGTCAAAATGGCAAACATAGGAGAACATATTTATTTACTCAGAGAAGAAGAAGAAAATGTCAGGCTACTTTATACCATAATATCCTATTTTCTCTTCCACTCTCACTACCTACAATTACTGCAATTGCCATTTATAACTTTTTTTTTTTTTTTGCGGTACGCGGGCCTCTCACTGTTGTGGCCTCTCCCGTTGAGGAGCACAGGCTCCGGACGCACAGGCTCAGCAGCCATGGCTCACGGGCCCAGTCGCTCCGCGGCATGTGGGATCTTCCCGGACCTGGGCACGAACCCATGTCCCCTGCATCGGCAGGCGGACTCTCAACCACTGTGCCACCAGGGAAGCCCCATTTATAACTTTTTCAGGTACCAAGGGGAGAGACACAAAGTGGTAAATGTTGCAGCTTACTGCTATTTTAAACAAAACATGGCTAAGGAAGTGAAGTTGAAGTACATGTGCAGAGCAAACTCAGATTTAACAGATTTGCATTTATTAGAGCTTACATGCTTTACATCAGTTGAGATAATAAAAGGTCTAGTGGAAGCACACTGGCTAAACATTTTTTTCTTGTGCTTTTTTTTCTTTTAATAACTAGTCCTAGAGTTTTGGTAGTCAAACAACAGTACCTGATATATTTCATCAGTATGCATGGATTTTCCTGACCTGGTTCTAAAATTGTGATCTTGAACATTATTCTATTATTTTCTATCAAGATTATAGTAAAACTTCACTTACTACTCTTTAGAGCACCTGTATTCTGAAAAGATCAGCAGTCAAAATAGTGAAGCTTTGCCTAACCGACTTTTGGTTTTTAGTCAAACATTTCTCTGCTTTGAGAGATAAAGAATCTGTCTTAGACAAGCCTGAAGGATATAAAATAGCCTTCCTTATATAAATAGAAACTTCCTTATAAAACATAAACTTCTTTGGAAGAATTCTTACCCATTATAATGTGCAAAGTTGCAGTTACCACGTGAGAAATTCCATGAAGAGAATGTGCCAATACATTAGTAGATCCTGCCAAATCAAATTTAAAACATGTATGATCAGTAATAGCAAACATTTTAAATTAACCATTTGCTCCTACTTTATAGAGATGTCACTATGTAATGTTCAAATGAAAAATTAAGTGGAAGTGTATAAGTTTTTGTGCACATCATAGATGCACACTGAATGGCTACTCAATTATTACTTAATCTTTAAATAACTTAAAAATTAGGAAACAAGTTATAGTATCTACTTGCTCACAGCTTCTTCCATCATGAATGTCTGTTTTCTACCTGAAAAAGTGCTAGTTACATCAAAGTCTGCTCCATTCAACTTTAATAAACAGGCTTCTTTACCAAAATGCACACCAACAGCAGAAGGATGGCTCTGGAAAGCAGACAAATGCATAAACACAAAAAAAGCCAAATAATAACTAAGAAAAAAGTATAAAATCACTATAAAGTACAAAAGATATGCTTTAAATACATTTTAAAGCTTTCAACCAAATGGAGATCCCTTCTATAATCTGAAAAATGGTACCCCAGATGAAGAAAACTCTTCATCCCATGGTATTTGCCATAGTTTGAGAATCTGTATTGAGACATTATAGGTTTCTGTTTTCCATAATCACTAAGATAATTTAAGATCCACATGAATTTTTCCCACCAGCCTACAGAGAGAAAGAGCTTTCTCAAGTCAGGCCCCTGTAACATTTGTGTGTGTCTGAGATCTTGGGGTAAAGGCCTGGTTTCGAAGAGGAAAATACCAGCTAGCCACTGCCATTCCCAGGAGGTAAAAAGCATTTAAAATTAAGAAGCTACATTTTTCTTGACTTAAGTCCAGTAACAGCCAAGAACTGTGAAAGCATGGATGTACTGTGTACAATAGCTAGCTTTGTACTGTGTACAAAGGCTAGCTAATCAGGAACTTTCCTGTATGGTCATATGCAATCCCTTCGGTTTGTGTCACTTTGAACAGATGTATTATGCTTGGGCTGCTCAGCTGGAGAAGCTGAGTCAATGAAGCTTCTCAAGCAAGACTGTCATTAAAACAATAGTCATCGTGAGGCACCTATCTAAGCATTCATGATTTCCAGACCTCTAGTGAAACCAATGCAAAGAAATGTCCCCCTTAACCAACTGGTAAACTGGTTTTAACTGATTCATCAAACAGTAGTTTATGTTCTGACCCTTGTTACTCAGAATATGTCCCACAGCCCAGCAGCGATGGCCACACCTTCATGTTTATTACACTGTTGATTCTCAGGCCCCACTCCAGACCTAAGGAGGCATAGTCTGCATTTTATAAGATCCTCAGGTTATGTATATGGAGAGGCCCTCCTCCAGAACGTATGGTTCAAGGATCAGCAGCATCAACATTACTTGGGAGCTTGTTAAAAAGGGACATTTCTGGGGCTTCCCTGGTGGCGCAGTGGTTGAGAGTCCGCCTGCCGATGCAGGGGACACGGGTTCGTGCCCCGGTCTGGGAAGATCCCACATGCCGCAGAGCGGCTGGGCCCGTGAGCCATGGCCGCTGAGCCTGCACGTCCGGAGCCTGTGCTCCGCAACGGGAGAGGCCACAACAGTGAGAGGCCCACGTACCGCAAAAAAAAAAAAAAAAAAAAGGAAATATCTGGGTTCCACCTCCAACCAATGGAAAGGGAGTAGCTGGGAGTGGGGTCCCCGTGCCCATGTCTTAGCAAGTTCTCCAGGTGATTTGTGTGCACCCTAAGGTCTGAGAAAAAGTGATTCAGAAACCTGTTCCTCAGTGGATCTTTACCAGGAGTCAATTACCTAGGTTTTTCCAATTATTCTTTGACCCTCTACAGCCTGCCCTTTGGCTAATACTAATTAACTTGGAATGGGTGGGGGGAAAAAGCAAAAACAAATCAATTTTGCTTCCCAATCGGATTTATGGTAAAGGTTTTGGAGGAGGCCACATAATTAGAGTGAGATATTTAAGATTATCGATGGATTACAGTACTCCATGAAACACATTTCCTCCATTACCATGGTTAATTAAGAGTAGACCATAAAAGCATTCCTCTAGAAAGACTATTAAAAAACAAAATGTAATGTTGTCATGTGCAATAGAGAATGACACATATCATGACTCAAGAAAATAAAGACCATTTATTCCCTGTGAGTTTGAAGTATGCTAAGTATGCCAAAGTACAAATCCTCTTAGAATGCTAGACATTGCTTTTTTATTTCTATGTCTTCTCAGGCTTTGCAACTTTGCCACTTTTCTTTAATTCCACTGAACTTGGCAGTGATGACAGACATGACCAGAAATCAGAAAATCATCTCAGTCATCTTCTACTCTGCTTGACCTGTACCTTAATCCTTAAGAACGTTTTTAACACTCTGAATTTAAAAGGAAAGTTCATGAAGAAAGTAGATGTAAAATTATAAAACTATAGATTGCTCCATATTTTTGTTTGAATAATCTAAAAGAGTACAATTTCCAGAAACAAAATGGGATCCAACCAAAAAGATATCTACATGCCAAAAGAACATGCTGCTCACATAAATAAAAACTATGTAATTTTAGCATTCTCACAAAAGCTATAAATGTTCTACCTCAAGGTAAACATTTTAATTAGCCTGAAAAGTTATTTTTCTTAACACTACCAGCAACTCTGCTCACCACCGCCACCCCAAACCTGCTAAAATGTGCCACATCCAATGAGTAAGGACAGAAGTAGCAGCTCATGTAAAGCATGACTGATAGAAGAACCAGGCAGAAACTACAGAGGCAAAAAGAAAAAAAAATTGTCCTTGGAAGTGCAAGCACTTCTGCAGAACAATTAACTTAATTAACCAGACATCATGAATATTCATAAGGCCATTAATGTCTCCCACATCCAAACAGATAAATGTGATGTAATGACTTCCTAGTCAAGCATATCTAAAATTCTCATGAAAACTGCACCTACACTTTGGTTCTTTGCCTGAAATATCATAGAAATTAACAGTCCCTTGGCAATATTTTATTCTCCTCAAATTAATTGGAAAGCATGAATTTATTTATGTGAATGCTATAGAAATACATGGTTCCCAGTCATCAGTATGTGGATTGAGCTTTGTTTTACAACAACTGGATTGCTTTTTTATTTTTATGTCCTCTCTGGCTTTTTTCCCTATCCTCCCCCTCATCCCCTTAATCGGAATCTCTCTGTATAGTTCCTCAGCACCAGTTCCCATAGCAACAAACACCGTTGCTAATGGCCAGCAGTTCAAATACAGGCTTCCCCACATCTGATCCATCTGAGTCTGACCATAATTCAGCGGCTTAGTCTGTTGGCTCAGTGGAGTAATTTACTAAACACTCTCCCTCTGGGTGTCTCTCTCCAGGAGGCAAATGGTTTCAAAGGCAGACTCTCTTCTGCGTTAGCTTAGAAACTTCCTGCCTAGCTCTTGTTCCCATTCATTATCAAAGCCCTGACCAGACTTAGAGTCCTCATATTAAATACATCCTGCACATGACTTCCTCCTCCTATTAGATGGAATCCACAAGCTAGAACTCTATACAACCACTAAAGTTTTGGCAACAGGCTGTATCTTCTAAACAAAAAGTATTCCAATGGCATTTCTACATATCCACTGTATCTAAAAAATGCTTTCAAAATCAGAAATATGCTTAAAAAGTATAATGATAATAAAACTCAATGCTGTTCCTTTATAACATCTGAGTTACATATTAAAAATGTAAGCATAACCACCAGTATTTCTAGCTAGCTATTCACTTTATGTCAAAGGAAGATCCATGGGGACACCCATCTTTCCACTTTTGATGCAGAGCAGTGAATGAGTGACTTCAGGGGTGTAAGTACTAAGGAAGAGAAACAGTGACCTAAGCACATCCACTCTGTACAGAAGGAAATGTTGGGAAATTTCCACCATTACAGACGGCACTTCTAAAGTGACACAGAAAGGTCAAAGTGCAGCCCAAATGCATCGTTTTGAGTTGATGCATTTTGTTCTCTTCTACCTAAGGGGGTCTTTCTCACAGATTTTTAACAGGTTTTTACAATCATCAGGATATATCCCAATATCCCTCTCCTTTTAAATTCTTATTTTTATGAAAGACTTTTTTCTCTAGAAGGGCATTGGTGTGTCTTTTGCTCTTTGTCAATTAACAATACTAAATATACTGAAATTCATACTAAATGACTCTGGTCATCAAATGGATAGAATGTTGCTTTTTTTTCAACCATGTGTAACCATGTGTCTTCTATTTTCATAGGAAAGAATACAGTCGACCCTTGAACACAGGTTTGAACTGAGTGGGTCCACTTAGACATGGATATTTTTCAGTTGTAATTACTACAGTACTTCAAGGTCCCCCGATGGTTGAATTCGAGGATGCAGAGGAAAGGAGGGCCAACTGTAAATTGTTCAAGGGTCAACTGTAATTGTTTCCGCTTTTCTTGTAGAGATAATAACATGTGATGTTCTAAAGTGAAAAAAAAAGTCACTTTCCTTCACTACTGTTTGTTTCAATAATAATTTGAGAGGAGGGACTCATATAATAAACCTGCAAAAGATACTTTTGTCTTCTCTGGATCCCAGTGTTGCTCTGGCTGCTCTCCCTGGCTCTGACCTCCACTTCCTTTTCCTCCCTTCCCCTAATCAGGAATCTTCCTAGAACAGGCTCCCAGCAGGTTGCTCCCCTTGCTCTAAACCTCCCATTGTTCCCTACTGATCATCAACTGCAATTCAGACCCCTTCCTGTGGCATCCAGGAGCCACCATGATGTGGACCTGTTTTGACACCAGTACTACGAAAAACAAATGGCCTGTTTTCTATTCCTCAACATTCCTGGATTTTGCCTTGCCATTTATTATTTTTGTAGCCAAGAAAACTCATTCCCATCTTTCAGGCCAGAAAAAAAATTGTCCTACCTATTTTTAGGTGCAATTCAAGTGGTACTTGCTCTATAATGTCTTCTTTCCATTTATTCACTCAGACTTTATTGAGTGTTCACTGTATCACATTCTGTTCTAGCTGCTGGAGATACAGCAGTCAGGATGAATCCTTTTGGCATATTCAAGCTTATCTGTTTACACTTCAACTATGGGAATTGAGTTACCACATTTTACCCCCCCAAGAAATTATAAACAGCTTGACTGGAATGGCCCTGTTTCAAAATTTCACATCTGGGACTGTGTGATCATTAGACCTTTATATGGGAAGGTAGAATAATGGTCCCATTTATTGTTTGCTTAACTATGTATTAAACCCTGCACGTATACTATCTAATTTAATACTATAATAACCTTGTAATAAAGTGAGTGTCATGTGTGTTATCTCTCTTTTATGAATTAGAAAAATAAGGCTCAAAGAAATTAAATAACTTGGCCAGAGTCTCACATGTGCTAGTGGAGATGCCAAGCGTGGGTCTTTCAAACTCAAAGTCTGTGCGTTTAACTCTGTGTGACACTGCCTAGGTTAGGAAGTAAACCAGGGGAAGATAGGTGAGGGGTTCCATTTGGCAAATCCATGGCCCCTCCCTTGCCTGCTGGTATCACACCAAGTGGAAGCTGGGCTCGGACAGGAGTCAGGAGGCTGTCTGTTTCCACCCCGGCGTTCTTCTGGGCACTAAGAAGCAAAGCATGGGCTACTTCACTGGCAGATCCATCTCCACCAACACAGACCACACTAGAAAAGAAGAAATTAAGTCAAAGAATGAACAACATCAAAACAATTGGTGATAATTCGTGAAATTTTGACTTTAAAATATTGGGTTGGCCAAAAAGTTTTCGTAACATCTTATGGAAAAACCCGAACGAACTTTTTGGCCAACCCAATATTAATTTTATATATTCTGTGCGTGTGATTATTCACACCTTCAAACACTTCAATATGTGTCAATGGATAAGAAGACATTAGCACTGCTCTGATAAAGTTTACTTCACAAATATCATACCTAGATGATACCCCATAGGCAAAGTATTTTTAAATGGGTTAAGAGGCATTAAACACTTGAACATGTTAATTCACATCTGACCTGAATTTTGCTCTGTTAATATCCCAAAGCATATTATCCTCATCTTGTTTATGTTAATAATAGTCGTTGCAATTCATTTAACTAACACAAGCCAAAGTCATAAAATCCTGCTAATTTTCAATATAGCTCTGAAAAGACAGACAGCAATAAAAATCATGTAAAATATGAGGCTTTAATTTAAGGAACTGCTAATTATCATTAGTATGTAAACGTTAATTGCAAACCTGAACTAGTTTTCATCTCCTGGACATTACTGCGATATGGCACTTTTAAAATTAGTGTTACTACCCTTTGACCCTAGTCAGTACTACTAATATTTTTTTTAAAACCTCACCATATGTACACTACAGGAGTGATGGGGTGGGAATCCATGAAATTCATACAAGATATCAGAAGTTTTGTCATAATCATTCGCGTTTAAAAGATGCAAAATAGGGGCTTCCCTGGTGGCGCAATGGTTGAGAGTCCGCCTGCCGATGCAGGGGACACGGGTTCGTGCCCCGGTCTGGGAAGATCCCACATGCCGCGGAGTGGCTGGGCCCGTGAGCCATGGCCGCTGAGTCTGCGCGTCCGGAGCCTGTGCTCCGCAACGGGAGAGGCCACAACAGTGAGAGGCCCGCGTACCGCAAAAAAAATAAAAAATAAAAGATGCAAAATAATCTTAAGTATCAAAATCACATCAATTTACCCAAAAGGAAAAGATTTTGTGTTATTGAGAGCAGGTGTCACACCCCAAGGCCTCCAAGGCCCAGCAGGAGCAGAAGAGTCTGCTCAGTCTAAAGAACAGGCAGCTTCTCAGCACCAGCCCACTCCCATCATCCAGGAGGTAGGCTTTAGAGGACCACATCTTCTGATTTTTCTAGGGAAGCCACAGGTCCTGATTTTGGGGACAGTCTCCTAATTTACAAACACTCACAACTAGCATTCAATATATTTAAAAATTGTATGTGCCAAACAAAACAGCCTGTGGGCCATAATCAGCAGGGGGTCCTGGTTCCCTAAGTTTAGGAAGCTCCCGAAGTTGGTGAATCCAGAGGCTGAGAATACTTTTTGCATCAACTCCTTCTACCTCTCAGCCTTCCAGCCCCGGCACCTAGGTGGGGTTCAGCACTAGGGCTGCACATAGCCTGGGCGATCCAGGTCCATCCTAATTAGAAGAAACTCCAGGATATGAGATACGGCCCAGGTCATTTTTGGCTGGGGGTATTATTTTGTCTGAACTGATTCCAGGGGCCATCAGTGTGGTCACTGATTCAGAGAAAAGTGATTATACCTGCCGAGGACCAACTTCACATCAGGTAATACATTGGCTCTTTTCTGTTAAATTCCCAGAATTCTGTAAAGTAAGCATTAGCCTCATCCTTATATATGGGGAAGCCAAGGTTTCATTTGAACCTTATCTGTATGATTTCAAAGACCTCTATGAGCAGATTTCCAAACGTTCTGTGAACTTAATTATAACTTTCAGTTCCATGCCTGTCTACCAACCGAGGTGTATGTGGCCTAAAAGGGACCCGTAAAGTCTTCCGACACAGCATCTAACTTAGTACAAAGAACTTGCCTCTTCCATATAGTATGTCAACACTTGAACCCTGGAATTGGGCATCCAGTTATAGCACATGTTAACTCATTGCTAGAGTTAGTAGAAATGGCCTTTCTATGAACATGCTCTGCTACAAAAACCTTTGCAATTTTGTCATAACACATTCTGTGTTAAATATTTTGAAACTATAACAAGTGATAATTATAACAATAAAGTAACATTTAGTGAACAATTACTATGTACCAGACACTGTTGTCAGTACTCTCCATGTATTAACTTTTTAAATTTGAACAATAACTGTATGCAATAGATACTTTTACTCCCAATTTACAGATTAGGAAACTAAGACATAAAAAGATTAAGCAACTTTTCCAAGGTCATACTATAGTAAGCTATGGAATGAGATTTTGAACCAAGACAATTTGGCCTTAGAAACTACACTACTATTTGATATATTAGACTCCTTTCTTATATATAAAACCTAATGAAAATAGCCTTATGAGAGTTTTATTATTTTGGAAATCAGTTTACCAGTAGAATCACTGTGGAATTAAATAAGTGAGAAAGGAATATATTTATTTATCTTGACAACTACTAGATCACTGAGATCATCTCAAGATGCAGTTAGTCAACCTAGGGAATATGCTTAATACAAACATATCGCAAGAGTCTAGATATTACAAGAAAAGGCAAAAAATAAACTTTTTATAATGAGTTAATTTAACCACACTTAAGAGCTACCCTAAAACATAAACCTTTACAAGTGGTACACCTTGTGTTTTCAGGATAAGCAAACTCTTTCTTGCCATGACCCTAAGTAGAGCTTTTCTGTCTAGAAAAGTACAACTGGGGGCTAATATCTTACTTCTCTTTTTTAAAAAGTGACAGGAAAATTTTTAAATTGCTGTTTGTGTATTTGTCTATCAACCCATATCATTATTGAAATGTTTATTATTGCATTTTTGACTTAAAATTTTTTTTGAAAAGAGATACTTTTTTTTAACCTTATTTAGTAATACAGATATGGTGGTGATAAAATGTTAGTGCAAGCCAAATAATGTCTAGATTCTCGTGAAATTAAAAGAAGGAAAAAACTATAATTCAACAAATTAAAATTTAAAAATGCTGTGAAATAAAACAGGAAAATATTAGTATATGTATAATTGCATAAGAGCTACAGATTAGCTTAACAATTTTCACATTCATAAATCCAACTGTTACCGCTTCAAGTCTATGCACCCAATGTTACACTTTTCTTTGCCTTTACAAAACTTCCTATTCATGCCCAGTGTAAAGAGGGGTCAATATGGAAACGGACGCTCCTGCAAGCTCTAGCAGTGAATCTGAGAGCATTTGCTAGAACACACTGGAGCTGCACACAAGCTGTCATGAGAACTGATACACTGTTCCTGTTGGCATTAGGAATATGTCACAATATGTCTTCATAGAAACATATGCAACTCATTAAAAAAACTCCAAAAACTTAACAAATAATCTTCTTAAACATTATTTACTAATCATTTTGCTTTACTGAAAAATATACATAGAATTTCTCTTGGATCTTAAAACTCTCTGTCTGGTCTGTGTCTAAAAAGCTTTAGATGATTTCCTAGTCACTCCCTACCAACAGCTCCGCTAGAGTCAGGCAGAGATGCTTCAGGCTCAAGTTGAGCTCCTCTTTCATCAAAATACCATAGAATCCTGGGGTTACCTTATCCCGACCTTGAGTCTTTTGTATCAATTTCTCAAAAAGTCCTCCTATAGCCACTCTTTGAACAGATTCAGGAACAGGGAACTCATGAATGTAGTGTCTTCCACTTTCAAACAACTCTACTTGTTAGAGAATTGTTCTTTGGAAGTGCCTACAGAAACTGTCTCCATTGTTCTCCTCATATGTATACTTCTCTATGTAATTCTAAGTAGAGTGACTTAAAATTACTATTTTATTAAGATAGTTATCCCAACCACCACTTCGTCTCCTAACTAGAAAGACTGGGCTCAAATAAATAAATAAATAAGCTACTTAAAGGATCTTAGAAATATTAGACAACTTGCAATAGAAATTTTAAATTATTATAAGTTCTAATTAATTCAGCATGCTGTAGAGCAGCGGTCCCCAACCTTTCTGGCACCAGGGACCTGTTCTGTGGAAGACAATTTTTCCACGGACGGTGGGCGGTGGAGGTGGGATGGGTTCAGGTGGTAATGCAAACGATGGCGGGGATGGGAAGCGGCAGAGGAAGCTGCACTCCCTTTGCCCACTGCTCACCTCTTGCCGTATGGCCCAGTTCCTAACAGGCCACAGACCGGACCGGTCCTCAGCCCGGGGGGTGGGGACCCCTGCTATAGAGTTTAGAAACAGTGAACTCACTGGAACTCAATTGACATAATGGTTAGGCCAAACTACTTGGTTTAAAAAAATGTAGTTAATAACTAAAGGATCTATATATCTTGCACTGCCACACTGCAAAATAACAGCACCTGCCATGTGGAATAAACAAGAATTAAGTATGTTCAGGTAAAGAGAAAAACATTACTTGTTGTGCTTAAGCTATAGTCTTTCATCATTCTGCAAAGTTCTTCTTGATCCTTGCATAGTTAATTACCAATGGAACTTCGTTATAGATACCACATTTATCAGAACATTTCATAACATGGACAGGCAAGACCAGGTCTAATACCTACAAATACCTGTTATTCTTATTATTTATATAATCACGTTTCGAAGCAAGGACTTATTTGCAATGCAACATCTCTTATATACTCACAAGCTGTGCTTCAGGACTATGCAGCATATTAAGGTAGGTAGCTGGTAGGCATGATTCCCCCAGTTACTTTTCCTAAATTGTCTACTTGCAAGATAATTTCCTAAATGTAGCCTATTAATCAATCTGTCTAGCTCTAAGTATAAAGCTCTGAAGTAATCTCCTACCTCATATTCTTCCTGCTCAGTATGTATACAACACTGCCATCTAGATCTGCTCCCCTCAATTAAGTTCAAATGCTCGAGAGGGTGTGGAGAAAAGGGAACCCTCTTGCACTGTTGGTGGGAATGTAAACTGATACAGCCACTGTGGAGAACAGTACGGAGGTTCCTTAAAAAACTACAAATAGAATTACCATATGACCCAGCAATCCCACTACTGGGCATATACCCAGAGAAAACCATAATTCAAGAAGACACATGCATCCCAATATTCATTGCAGCACTATTTACAATAGCCAGGTCATGGAAGCAACCTAAATGCCCATGGACAGACGAATGGATAAGGAAGATGTGGTACATACACACAATGGAATATTACTCAGCCATAAAACGGAACAAAATTGGGTCATTTGTAGATACATGGATGGATCTAAAGACTGTCATACAGAGTGAAGTAAGCCAGAAAGAGAAAAACAAATATCGTATATTAAAGCATACATGTGGAACCTAGAAAAATGGTACAGATGAACTGGTTTGCAAACAAACGTATGGACACCAAGGGGGGAAAGTGGCGGGGCGTGGTGGGGGTGGTGTGATGAATTGGGCAATTGGGATTGACATGTATACACTGATGTGTATAAAATGGATGACTAATAAGAACCTGCTGTGTAAAAAAAAAAATAAAATTCAAAAATTCCAAAACAATAAATTCCTTTTTGAAAAATTATGTTTTATTTACCAAACTTTCTTCTTCATCCAATAATACTTTTCTCACTAACAAATATTAAGCATTTCTGAAAAACAACCCTACTAATTCTGATTGCAGCACTTTCCTCTCTAACACATTCTAATAATTTTTCGGGAAGAGCAAAACCTTTCATTTCAGTTGAAAAACCCAAATGCCCTTCCTGATATTGTGAGTGTATTGTTGCCCCCCTGCCCACTACCATGTTACACAAATAATTCACATACCTGCCACCTTTTAAAACTCTGAAATGTCCACCCTTGCAAAAAAAAATCTTCCCTAAAATAATATGCTTTTAGTCTTGTACATCAATCCAGCACTTTAGCAAATTGATTCACCTAAATTTTAAAAATGTCAATTAAAGTATATGTCACTTGCTTTGTTTCTAATGTTCGCATGCCAGTGAACAATTTCTACACACACCAGCAATGTATTGCAAACAACAGTTCCTAATGCCTACTGTGAATAACATACTTATTTGGTAGCTACTAAATTATAGAAGATAAGTAAAATTAGCATATTTTTTCATCCTGAAAAATATATATTTGTTTTTACAGAATATTTACACTCAGTCAATCATATCCAAATTAACCAGTGGGTAGCTATTAATACTATCAATAAATTTGCAAAAAAGGATCATAGTATAGTTATATCACACAATCAATATAATATGTTCCATCAATGCTTTTCTATATACTCACAGGGTTAAAGCCAAGAATTAAGGACTACAGAGGCAAATGTATACACATTAGGTAAGAATAAGGTGATACGCTGTGATTTCTCAGTACTTATATTTATAACCCTCCTTTTGCTTTCCTATGCCCGATCCTGCAAGGTGGATGACTATGCCATAGTACATTATCAGCACTGTTATTACACAGATACAAATGAACTACAGCCTAATTACATACATCGCAAACATTTAAAAATTGTAAGTCTCAAATATGTGGCTAAAAACTAATGAAAACATTTAATAACATAAGCCATATGACATTAATAGATTAATAATACAACCTACCCATCAAATCCCTGTAGTTCACATTCTTTTAGCAGTGACATGGCATGCCCTTCATATTCTGTTACTATATGAAAAAAAAACACAGAAAAAGATGAAAGTTTTAAACAAATGATCTACACTTTTAAACTTGGTTTGGCAAAATAATATGCTAAACATATGGTCAGGTCATAAAACAACATTTATTCTTGAATATTTATATTTTAATCATGGGAAAGAGGATTAAGTGTTACTTGCCTGTTATGTTTTACAGCTTTATGTAAAAGAGGGTCATATATTTGTTCCAACTACATAAGTCATTTGGGGATATCCCATTAGATAATTTATCTTGGTGCCTGTCTGTTTAGTGTTCCCTAAATAAGACACATTTCCTTTAAATCAGAAGCCTAGGAGCAGCAGTATTTTGAAAATAAGGCATATTAGCTGGCACCAAATAGTCAATGTTAAATCACTTTGGCAACCTTACATGAATAAATTAGTTGAAAGGTTAGTGTAAGATTTACATACTAGAAGAATGTGTGTCTGGAACTGCTAGACTAAAAAGAGGAGGAGTTGGATGTGAAAATGTGAAGCAAAGCCAACACCAAGGATAACAGACCCAACGCCAAGAAGGGTGGCACACAGGCCCACCAGAGCCCAGATTCTCTGAGGAAATGAATCTGTCACTCCCTATTGCTGCCTCTACAGTCATGATGCCCTATGCAGTGTTGCAAATGCCAGAGAAGACAGGATAAACTGGCACACTGCAGATGGCACCAAGCATCCCAACCACATTTAGCATTTTCTAGGGCAGCTTTGCCAGAAGAGACAGCCCAGCTGTACCCACCCATCAAAGGTTTCTGCTGACTGACATGACACTGCAGATGGATGTTTTTGTGTAAGAATGTGCATCATTATATGCAAGATTACATTAATCTTTCATGCCTGTCTGTCCCTGGTGCCAGCATGGTTCAAGCTTTTCCTACAATGCTTTTAGATATTGTTAAAAATTATCAGTCTTGGTGTCTAAAAGAATCATTCTGTATCCAGCAGCATTACATTGTAATTCTTCCACAGCTTATTCAAATGCCGTTAACATTCACATGAATAAAACCTCTCTCTATTAAATTCTATTCAGAAGAAAGCTACAAGAAAATGAAATATTTAATATTAATAAATTTAGGTTATCGTAAATGATTGTGTGATCATTCATCTATAACTTCAGCAAGTAGTTGCAACCTTAAAAAGCAAAATAATAAAATGCCTTACAAACACACATTAAAAATAATTAAGGATATTAGGAAGAAATATTTATGCTGAGAATCAGTTTATCAAGTCTCGCTTTTATTCCAAAGCTTACTTTGGTAAAGCTTTTCGAATCCAAAACAAAATTAGCCTTAAAATTATCTTGTAGCTGAATGCCATTTTTACTTAGGAGAAATTTTGAAATAATAGTCTATTTCTTCCTTTCATCTTGCAGGTGAAATGTGACTATACACTGATGCAAATTATCCAAGAACAGTAATTTTTTTAAGTGACATTGTAAAAGTTAAATAAGATGAGCCCAGGGTCAGAAAGGAGGTAAAATTATCTGGTGACTAGGCACTCCCATGGGCCCTGAGCTGGCAGAGATCAAGGCTACATTCAGAGAAGTGTCTTTGACCACGATAATGATAATCAGCATGATAAGGTCTAGCAACTTTGTTACTACCAAGATTGACTGAAGGAGGTGGAATTGCCTGTCTTGAACAAGAGAGATCACGGGCAGACATGAAATCTGTTTTCAAATACCTGAAGGCTCATGGAAAACACGTATTTCATTTATTTTGTGTCACTACTAAAGATAACGTCAACACTGAAAGTCACAAGGTGGCAAACATCAGCTCACAAGTTCTTGCAGTTTATGTCTTGCACAAAGGCATTTGGCAAAGGGTCAGGTAGGTTTGCAATCCAGCCAGTACTCCTATTCAGCATGCGAGGTGACCTTGGGCTACATCAGCCCAGAAGAAAGAGCACCTTTTTGTAAGTTAGCACAAAGGAGGTGCTCTTTTCTAATATGACCCTGAACTCCAGTTGAGAATATCCATCAGTATTGTCCAGTAACAGCACACACTGACTCCATCACAGGGTGCCCAGGCCGAGGCTGGGTGTTCTTCCACCAAGAGTGTCACGTGACTGCACTCCACCGCATGAGGGAAAATGAACTAGATGGCCTCCAAAGTTCTTTCCAGTTTAATTTCTCTGCTGCCTTGACTCTTTCACTTTATCGTTCTATGAATTATCATATGAATCTATGATGTCCAAAATTCCTCTCACACCTTTAATAGTGTAATTCTGAAAGTCTGCTCTGAGAGGAAGAGAAAGAAATGGTATCATATGCCATTTGATTCACATATCAAGTTACTAGGAATAAATAACTCTTTTTTTTAGGTTCTTCCAGTTCTTCTGACACCCTGTCCCCCAACCTCTGGAAATCTGTTCTCTGTATCTACACGTTCTGGTTTCTTTGGGGGAATTTTCAAAAAATATTCCACATATAAGTGAGATCATATGACATTTGTCTTTCTCTGACTCATTTCACATAGCATAATGTCCTCAAGGTCCATTTATGCTGTCCCAAATGGCAGGATTTCCTTCCTTTTCATAGCTGAAGAGTATTCTGTGGTATGGCATGCAAATATATATATATATGTATACACACACACACACACACACACACACCCCACATCTTCTGTATCCATTCATCAACTGATGGACACTTAGGTTGATTCCATGTCTTGGCTGTTATAAATAACGCTGCAATCAATATGGGGCACAGATATCTGTTTTGAGTTAGTGTTTTTGTTTCCTTTGGATAAATACCCAGAAGTGTAGAATTGCTGGATCATATGGTAGTTCTATTTTTAATTTTTTGAGGGGCCTCCATAGTGGCTGCACCAATTTACATTCCCACCAACAATGCATGAGGGTTCCCTTTTCTCCACATTCTCACCGACACTTGTTATTTCTGGCCTTTTTGAAAATACCCATTCTTTTTTTTTGGCTGTACGCGGGCCTATCACTGTTGTGGCCTCTCCCGTTGCGGAGCACAGGCTCCGGACGCACAGGCTCAGCGGCCATGACTCATGGGCCCAGCCGCTCCGCGGCATGTGGGATCTTCCCGGACCGGGGCACGAACCCGTGTCCCCTGCATTGGCAGGCGGACTCTCAACCACCGTGCCACCAGGGAAGCCCTTAAAATACCCATTCTGACAGGTGTGAGGTGATACCTCATTGTGATTTGATTTGCATTTCCCTGGTGATTAGTGATGCTGAGTGCCTTTTTATGTACCAGTTGGCTACAGGCATATCTTATTTGGAAAAATGTCTACTCAGGTTATCTGTGCACATTTTAACCAGATTCTTTCGTGGGGGGTTTGCTATTCATTTTTTTTTAATGTATAGAAAAATTATAATGTATTCATCTAGCTATAATTTTTACATCATGCCTCATTTATACAGCACTATCTCTTAATGAATTCATCATCATACAGAATTTGTTACATAATTCATGTTCCATTTGGACTTGGCAGTGCACAGGAGATATGTTAAAACAATGGTCACACTGGACATGCAGAAAATATGTACTCTTTCTGCTTTACTCTTTCATAGAAAATACTTTTTCAAAGTTTGAGTTGAATCTTACTGTTACATAATTTATGAAACTGAAATCAACTGCATTATGACCATGTTTTTATAGTACTTTATAGTATACAAGGTAGTTTTAAATATACTACCTTATTCAAACTATAAAACTATACTGTGAGATAAGCAGGAAGATTCTAAAACTTTTCAGATACCCAAATGTTTATTCAGTCCTTCACATGAAACAGGAGACATTTTTAATATAAATATTTAGCCAATATACATATCAAAATGGTTTTATAAGCAAAAGATGCAATTTTATAATTTTGCCTGTAGGAGGAGTGTTAGGCAGCTAATAATTAGCCATGCTGCACAAATATGTAAATAAATTCTATATTTACATTTATGTAATATTCTAATTTTATCTTAAACTAAACATAATAAGCAAAAACACCTAAAATTCAGGGGAAAAAAGTCCTAGAACATAACATTTTTCTCTCCAATACACTTGTTTTAAGAAGGAAAGCACATTCCTATCATCTCCTCTACCTTAGTTCAGGCCTCATAGGCTGGTTTCCCTTCCTCCAATCTCCCCCTCTTCTCTTCCAATATTTATTCTGATGACATAATCATCTTTGCCAAACTAGATTACAACACTATGATAAAAAATGTACACCACCTCCAAATCAATGCGTGATGAATAAACTCCTGAGTGTAGCATAAAGATTCATCCTTAATCTGGACTCAGACTTCCTCCTGTGCGCTTTGTCGGGAGCCTTCCCAACTTCAGTTCAGTTGGCCTCAGCCTTTAGGAGAAGGGGGTCCCACCCTCATCCCATGGGAAGGGTCTTGATGCTTAAGACAGCAAGTGCTCCAGGTGGGGTATATGTACTACATCAGGACAGTCAAACTGATAGGAAAAAAATTTTAATCCTTGTTCAGGATTAAAACATGTTGAATCTCTTGCATATACATACCTCTCCCCATCTCACTAGATTTGAATAAAGAAGAACTGAACTCATTGGCACCATTTTACGATGATAGAAAGGACCATATTTAAGATAAAGCCAACGTTATGGAAGAACTACCAAAACACTGGGTACAGCACACACAGCCACACCCACTTGTATGTGCTGCTAGCGTGCCTGCCTTCTCTCACTTTTCTTTTCTGCTATATATATATAGTAAATATGTATATTTACTATAACAGTAAACCATTATTTGCCTTCTCTGACTTTCTAAAACTGTCCATTTCAAATTCTTTTCTTGGGTCTTCTGATCAAAACAAATAAGACCCCTGAGACACCATAATTCCTTTATGTATATCCCAATTATATCTACTTTAAATATCTATTTTAATCCCTAATAAATTAACGGTCACTCAAGAGCAGGTAGTAGAACTTATCCATCTTGCATGGTGCATAGTGTTTAACACAAAGCATTCAACAAGAGTTTCTTGAACTGAATGATATGTAGTAATATCCATGTAAAACTGTTTTGGATACTAAATCAATGAAAAAACAATTAAATATTATTGCATTCACCAATAAGGTTATTCAACTTTTAATTGGTTCATCCTAATATGAACTTCAAACTTTTCCTTCTTCCAATCCTTGAAAATCTTCAGGGAAAGCAACAATAGATCTGAATCGTTTCTTTTTCTTATAAATCACCTCCAAGTAAGACAAAAGCCACAAAGATGAAAGATTAACTCCTTCACTACAATTTTATTTTAATTCAGAAACTCCTCTTGAGTTTTTCATGGTAGTTTCTCTCCAACCTTCATTGTAGTAGATGCCTTTTGGGGTGGATGACCTTCTCCAAAAGATTATTGTTGCTGCTTTTTTTGTTTAAAGGAATTTCCTTCTACCCCATCCATCAAGTCATGAGATGTAGGTTTATAAACCTTATTTACGTTGTGAGACCCATCTCCCCTGGTGACAGCAGAGCAAAGCCAGGTCACTCTGAATCCCTTCCCTAGGAACTTATGACTGGGACTGGGAGATTCCAAGTACATTCTGGCCTTGTATCCTGAGTAGGCTTATTATGCAATATTCTTCATCAATTAAAATTTACTACAAATTTACACTGTGTGTTAATGAAGCTACACAGAAGTAAAACCAGAAGAACTGAGGGTGTGATTCACGATAACGTCAACCCTCCTCACCCCACCCCCGTGGGAAACATAAGAGTCTCAAGGAGACAAAGGAATCTGGTCACCAAATTTTAAAAGCTGAAAAGAATTTTACTAATCTTCTTTATATGAACTTTAGCATTAGCAAATTTCTGTCTTCCTGGGCACAAACCTAAGCACCCTTCTTATTTTAGACAATGAATTTAAGCTTCTGGCTTCTCTAAATTCATCTAAAATCAGCAGTTAAGTGCTTAGTTTTGACCTAACCAGCAGGGGTCAGAGTCAGAACAAAAACCACCTAATGAAGGATTCCATGGAAAGACATCAAACATTTAAGTGAACAAAAATCAATTGCTGCTGAACTGCAGAGATAATGTTTAAATAGCCAACATCTCAATGAAGGTATCAAACCGTGTGCAGCCCCCTTAAAAATGACACCTAATAATTTTTAAAGTCTGAAAAAAGGTTTAAAGAGAAAATACTGATATTCTAATAAAAATAACACAATTAAAAGAAAACAAAATAATTGAATTACAATCCTGGAGCTGGCTGCAGTAAGTTATCGAAGCACAAAAACAAGCTTTAGATATTACAAGTAGCTTCCTAAATTGGACTCGAGCAAACTCAAGGTTATTTTGCTTCCTCAAGTATGATTTTTTTTAGAGGTGAAATTATATTCTGAAAATACTTACCTGTTACATCCGTCTTTATTCCCGCAATCTTCAACAGTGGTTCAACCTTCTCATAATAGATCTGAGTAGCTTCTTTTTTGTGGCTTTGAGGGTTAAGGACGATTTTTAATGACTTCGGTCTGTCTGAAAAACCTAAGAGGAAAATATAAAGACAAAAATTATAGTCTCTGTCGGCATTGTTTTTTCTTTCCCTTTAAAACCATACACTAAGGCCAGTTAGAATGTTATACACCTATTTAATTACTGTTGGCTATTTTTATTTGAAATTCTTCCAAGAGTTTTCCTGAATATGGCATTATTTTAAAACATTTCACAGTTCCTAGCAGTGAAATAAGAATATCCCTCTTAAAGTAAGTCATGAGTTATAACAAAGCATTTAATTTATGAAGGAAGGTGTGAATGAAAGTGACTTCATGAATATTAGGCAATGATTAAGTATATTTACCAAATCACCGATAATATATCCGAGGTTCCTTTAGCATTTGTTTCTGGGGGAAAAAGCAATGGACTATAACAGATTAGAAAGTCCATTGCCTCTCCTTGGATGAATACGCTCATTGTTGGAACTGGGCATTCCGGTAACCCCAGGGCTACCCAGGGCTGACCTGCTGATGAGCCCAGAGTGGAGTGGAGGATGCAAGGCCAGGTCAGGGCCAGCACCCAGAGCAATGCACGCTGGAAGCTAAAAAGAGGGTTTAGGTCGGAGTTCAAGCCTGAAAAGGGGCCAAGGGAGAAAGAACTCTTCCCTGGGGAATTGGGAAAGCAACGCCTCTCAGCGGGGGTTCGGGAATATAGTGCTGCCTCACAGTTGGGGCTGAGATTTGATACTACAATTTTCTGGGCTTGCAAGATGCTTAGCACTTAGAGCCCAGTTGGAGCAGGTGCAAAGCAAATTTTCCGTTGTTAGGAAGGGGCAGGAGAGGACAGAGGAGCCAGAAGAAAGCTGACGACTATTTCTTTCACGTTAAGCTCTTCTCACAGGGCCATGCTTCAAAGTTAGAAAAGCAGTTACTAGCATCCATTTTTAATGAAACCGTTACCAAAGCCAAAAGAAAAATGTCCATTACACCCACGTCAGTTTTTGTGCCTCAAGTAGAGACAATATTTTATTTCTTACCATATTTGAAATAATAAAAAATTTTCAACAACACATATTGTTTGAATTCAGGGAGTGTCTTGGCTGAGGATCAGATGGGACGATGCTGAACTCCTTACCTCTTCTGTACTTGGCCCTGGGATCCCATTTTGGTGAGAGACTTCTGCCAGTCTCCTAATCACCCAGTCTTGCAACCTCAATTCCTTGTTTTTCTTTCAATTCCTACATTCAAATGAGTGCCCAGGTTCGTGAGGTGATAACTATTTGCTTCCATGCCTCTGCCCTTCCTGGCTGTCTCACTGTGGCTCGGCATTCTCCAGGACCACTCATGGGTACCTTGCAGCCCCCCCTTCCACCATATCCTCAGACATCACAGCTCCCAGCAGCCCTGCACTGGTCCAAAGCACCAAGGTTCATCACTGCCTGTGGGGCAAGCCCGACCCCTGAAAATGACATCCAGAGCCTCCCCCAACCAACTCCAACCTATCCTCTCTCCTCTCTCTCACACATATTCAAGAAATACTTGTTGAGCATTTGCACTGAGTACTGGGAAGAGGTGGGAAGTGATTAACATGTGTTCATGCTTTACAGGGGGAAGACGAATCCACAAATAGAACCAGTACAAGACAGAACAGATTTGTTAACACGAAGGCACAAAGTGCCCTGGGAGTGGATGAGAGGAGGGTGGTTAATTCTTATTAGGGATCCGGAAAAGGCTTCCCAGAGAAGGGAGCACTCGAGCGGGGCTTTGGGCTCATGCTGTTTTCACTACTTGTAATCCCCTCCTGCCTCACACTTCATCCTCCCCTTAGCGAAACAGCAGGGGTAGAGTCAGGGAGGAAATACCAAGCAGTGAGACCGGCACAGAAGATGCTCGAAGCAAACCAAGTGCAGAGGGTTTTCTGTTCCATTTCCACTTCCCCTTCACGATCCAGACCCACTGTATTACTTGCTGAATACCAGCTGTTAGGCCTTCCTCTGTTCAGACAGTTCACCGTTTCCACTCTGCCTCATCTCCAATCCTGTAAAAATCTGACCACTTTTTCAAAGCTCACCTCAAATACCCCTTCCTCACTGAAGCCCTTCCTGACCAGCAGAATTCACCTCTCTGGCTTCTTGCTCCCGTGTTACTCTCTGTACCTCTATTATCGATTTTTTATATCATTTATACAGAAAACTCTGATAAAGGACTCAATGTCTCAGGGCTCCCACTGGCCAAACCTGGGACAACACAAAATGGAATAAAGACAGTAACATATCATACATACTACAGTGACTTTTTAAAAAACCCAATTCCGGGAGTCAAACCGACACTAAATACACATATAAATAAAGGAGGAAAAGGAAAAACTTCATCTTAGAGTAACAATTAATAAATACGGGAAAATTACAGAGTTAGAAAATCACTATTTTCAACCATCATAATAATGATGGATTTAGGCAAGAATCAGCAATGGATGCTAAAACCATCTGTGACAGTCAGTTGGGGAACAAAATACTTACTTATTCTTAAACTCTGTCCTTCCCTATTACTTTATTTACAGAAAGTAAAAAGGAATATTTACAGTAGGGAAGTAGGGCAGACACATCCTCAGTCAAGTGATCAAAGTTAACAACACTCTGAGTGTTGTTAACTCAAACTGACACAAACTGAGTGATACAAACTGACACATGTGCCTCATGTACAAGATACACAGCACTAAGGACACACAACTTCTGTGGGAGTCCTGCCCCAAGTGCATACATAATGTGGACCTAACAAGATGAAACACTCAGACAAACCCAAGTTGACGGGCATTCTCAAATTACCTGCCTTAAACTTTTCAAAAATGTCAAGGCCATGAAAGACAAAGAAACACTGAGGAAGTGTTCCAGATTAAAGGAGACTAAAGAGTGACAACTAAATGCGGTATGTGACTCTGGATCAGGTCAAAACAAAACTGCCATGAAGGGGGCTTCCCTGGTGGCGCAGTGGTTGAGAGTCCGCCTGCCAATGCAGGGGACACGGGTTCGTGCCCCGGTCCGCGAAGATCCCATGTGCCGCGGAGCGGCTGGGCCCGGGAGCCATGGCCGCTGAGCTCTGCGCGTCAGGAGCCTGTGCTCCTCAACGGGAGAGGCCCGCGTACCACACACAAAAAAAACAACCTGCCACGAAGGACAGTATTTGTGTCCTTTAACCAGAAAGGACGAAGCAGATTAATCTAGGGCTCACTTTTATTAAAACACGAAAAGGACCAGAAATTTGTTCTAAACCCCAGAGTCCAGACAAAAGATCTGTTTAGGCCTCCCTTACCTGGTAAATTTGTTGGAATACCCTCATTTCTCCAGCAGGGACAGACCCAGTAAGGAAGGTGTCTAGCCACCAAATTGCAGTCCCCAAATGCTGTCATACAAACCAACTTTTATTTCCCCCTTTTCTTATATCATGACTGTGGAGGAACAGACGTTTGTGGAGATGAGAAACAGTCATTTGGGGTTAGTGAGGATAAGCACATTGCAGTCAAAGGCTTGTAGACCTTAAACATATGTATAAAAGTGCACGCTATACGTCCCACCCAATCTTTGTGACACAATCTTCTTAAAATGGCAGGAAAGGGGCTAAAATTATTTTTAAAGACTTTCTAAAAGGATTTAAGCAAAATAATTTTATTCTTAAGCCTCAGTTAACAACAACAGCAATGAAAACTAAATTAATCAGAAAGTCCCATTCCTTAGACATTCTGGTCAATCAAGGGGTTTTTAAATACAAGTCAACAAAGCCAATTTTTTTTTCTTTACCAGAGCACGTATTCATTTCCTCATTTCTCTTTTTCTTTTAGATGCATCTAATATGATGACTATGAAGATAGAGTCTAAGTACATATGAATTAGGTAGCAATTTGAAATCAATTTAGAGATCAGGATGGAGATCTCTACCAAATAAAGTCGGATTTTTTAAATGTTCTTAATTAAGTGGAATAAAGAGACATAATTAACAAACCTCCATCCTTCTCTCCTTCCATGCTCCCTCCTCAAGCCTCCTCCTATTCCATTCAGTTTCTTGAACTCCTTTGTTCCCTCTACCACAGGGTCCTTGCACCTGCTCTCCCCACTAGCTGCCCACCTACACCAGCTGCCACCATAGCCACTTTGCCCAATTAACCCCCTCTTCTCTTTGTCTTGATCTCACATCAGTCATTGTTTCTAGGGAAAGCCTACCATGGCTTCCTCGGCTTTGTGACTTCAACTAGGTCATTTCCCCCTTATCATTTGTTCTCACAAGTCCATATACTTCCCAATCTTGATTCTTACACTGCTGTTATTTTATATCTATTTATTAATTATTCTTCCATATTAGACTGGAAACTCTCTGGGTATTCCTCCACATTCTATTTCCTTAGTGCAGGACACATAATAGATGATCAAATACTTGATGAGTGAATAAAAGAGCAGTGTTAGCTTTAGGTCATCTAGATAACAATAACAGCCATTCATTTATTCACAAATAACTACATGCCTGTTATTTGCCAGGCAGGGCTCTAGAAGCTGAGGTTCTATCAGTGAACAAGAAAAGCCTCTGTCCTCATGAAGCTTCCATTCCAATGGTAGGAGACAGAAATAAACAAGAGAATTCAGAGCATGCTAAGTGGTAAAAAGTTCTAAGGATAAAAGTGAAGCTCAGGACCTAATGAAACTTAAAAGCTTTTGCACAGCAAAGGAAACCATAAACAAGACGAAAAGACAACCCTCAGAATGGGAGAAAATATTTGCAAATGAAGCAACTGACAAAGGATTAATCTCCAAAATTTACAAGCAGCTCATGCAGCTCAATATCAAAAAAAAAACAAACAACCCAATCCAAAAATGGGCAGAAGACCTAAACAGACATTTCTCCAAAGAAGATATACAGATTGCCAACAAACACATGAAAGAATGCTCAACATCATTAATCATTAGAGAAATGCAAATCAAAACTACAATGAGATATCATCTCACAAAAGTCAGAATAGCCATCATCAAAAAATCTAGAAACAATAAATGCTGGAGAGGGTGTGGA